CCACCGTTCTTATTGTTTCATTCTTTAGGTTGAGGAAATTCTGCCATGGTTGACAGCTGCCCAGGCCTGGGTCCGTCACGGTCGAGGTAGCATGTGCTGCCCCACCTGGCAGTCAGACCACATACTAAAATTGTTGTCCCGAAACCGGAAGCGCTTGATTTGGAATGAATGAGGCCTCGCGAGATGTGACGGACATTGTAAAAACAAACAATTTACATAAACACATATTGCACTTATCAGTGTTTTTCCAAGCTTGTGAAGGGTAAGCAGACTATTGGCATGTTAACAATAGAACTGAAAAAACACACAACCTAATTGACTACCCATAGTCTTTGTTTGAAATGCCGCCATCTTTGTTCAAATGTGCACGCGCGAGATTGGAAAAAACTTCGTTGTTGTTTCAAGTAAGTCTATGAGAGTAAGGTAGTAGAAATGGCAGTCTGTATACTTGCTATAGTTTTCTTGACACATGGCAACAAACTTGACAATCGAAGCTTTGGGAACAAGGATCCGGGAACTCAAGCGATCTCAACGGAAGCCCAAGACAGAGAAATTGGCAGGTAGGTTTCACATAAAATTAATTATTTTCTTCTTATCATAGCAGTCATTTTGCATCGAATTAAACGTTTTCGGTAGGAACCTTTATCTTACAGTAACGGTGCGCTCGCATTTCGATTTCTCCCACGGTTATTAATGTGGACATTGCATTTTGGTGTGAAATCTGTTAAAAAACAACATTATTGTTGATACCAGCTGAACATTCCGTTAAAATATAACCATAAGACAAGTATACCTTTGTGTTCCTGTACGTTGAGTCTGATGTTTTTTAATTTTAATTTCATGCGGCAGCTCATTTTGTTGCTGGGCACAACCAACACCATAACCAAATATTTATTCTTCAGTCATTTTTTCTGAGTGTAATTTTGTCTCAGTATTATTCTTTTCTTGTCGGACTATTTCAATTATGTATCCAGCTATATTGGAACCGTGTACTGGAGCGGCGTTTATATAAGACACTTGGCTTGTTCACCTTTCCAGGTTATTGATGGAATAAAAATATATTTTAAGAAATTGTTATACATGTATCCAGCAAGGAAACACACATAGATGAAACCAGTAGTTCATGATATTCCGGTGGAAAATATTACCGATCGACATATGTTCATGATCTAAATGTGTGTCTCTTTTTGTTTTAGGCTATTGTGAGAAGAATCATGGAAAAGTTCCCGGAGTACCTTGAAAATCCATTAAAAGTTACTTATTTAAGGTAAAAAAACTTACCCCAAGTTTTATTATTGCTCGTCATCATAATCAAGATATATGTTTGGTTTTATAAGATTAGACACGTCAGTAATACAAAATACAATTAATTCGTTTCTTGTTCACCATTGGGTAAATCTAGCATCTAATTATTTCATTGTCAGGTATCTAGTACTAGCAGTAGAATTGACATAGCATACTATGTAGTGCATATTTGCTGCATAATCATGTCTGTCATGTTAATAGAAAACTTCTCACACCCCCGCAGTAATGCATATACATGTAGTTGATATACCACAATTACTTATTACTTGGTTTGATACATGATAATAATCAAACTTATGAATGTTTGTGTCGGATTGTAATAATCTATTATTGGACGAATGAAAACTAATTCATTTGCTTTTCTTAATAGAAACCTTTTGGATAATCTGGAGGAGCAAGACGGACGATCGACGTCGGCAGATTACAGGAAAGAAAAACAAAGGAAAGATGCTAAAAGAAACAAAAGAATCTGATCTGTAAGTTCCTGAAACTGGATTATATAATATCATTTGTACCGGTTTATACACTTCCTGACACCAATTTAAAACACCCTGAGTCACTGACATGATGTGCTACATATTATCACATCGCTATATACCTGTAACAGAATACCTTTCCTTATCACATGCCATTACCCATCACCGTAATGTGCCATTATCTAATTAGAACAAGTGCCGCTCTCAAGAATAAATGTTGGACATAACTTTCGCAGTGCAAGAATTTCATTTTTCCCCAGAAACTCCAACACCTCCTGAAGGATCTAGCTGGGCAGAGAAAAGAACACAGAAGCTGGCTGCAGTCCTAACCCTAGAATTGACATCGCCAGTGGTGTCTGAAGCTCCAGCAGCAAAAATGAAGAACTTGCGACACCATCCAACAAGATGCTTTCCAACCACCTAAAGGTCTTAGGAATAGAATGGAATATCTAGATGTACATTCAATTATCTCCTGTAGTCACCCTGTTTAGGACAAGAACATCTAAATTTGTTGTTTCTGGAGACTAAGATTAAAGATTAATGTCCCTCAAATTAAAAATGCCAATCTCTCCATAATATTTATTTGAACAAACTCTCTCTCTCTCTTCTCTCTCTCTCTCTCTCTTCTCTCTCTCTCTCTCTCTGTGTGCTTTGTGTCAATGTTTAATTGAAACATAGATATGATATGTTTATGATGAATAAAGAGAAATCGACTGACATGCCTGATTTTGTATTTATTTATTTCTATGTCCATGTGGTGTTGAGGTAACTGTAGTTGAAATGAGTTTATTTTATATTTCAATGTATCATGAATAAAATATATGACCTAATACATTCACATATATAATACACTCATTTCAACTACAGTTGATTTAGTTGAATAATCATAATTTAATATGGACATATGGTAATCACTGAATACTAATGATTGAAACCAAATGGAGCCATACAGATTCTGATTTACTGAAACTTATGGAACATTTTAAAAGTTATTAATAGAAACGAAATTCACAGGGAATCATAATTGATCTAAGTAAATACAATGTATATGAAACCATCTGAAAGCAGAGGATAAGGGAAACCCAATGGAACCTCATAGGAATCTGCGTAACGGAAACGCACTGGAACCATACAAGAACCTGGGTAACGGAAACGCACTGGAGCCCTACAGGAAAAAGGGTAACGGAAACGCACTGGGGCCTTACTGGAAACTGGGTAACGGAAACGCACTGGAGCCTTATATGGAAACTGGGTAACGGAAACGCACTGGAGCCTTATATGGAAACTGGGTAACGGAAACGCACTGGAGCCATGCCGGTTTCTGGGTAATTTGTAAGTTTCCGTTTTCCGGAAACTTGAAGGAAATGTAGAGAAACGTTCCGGAAACCTAGTTGAAACGTAAGTTTCCGTTTTGTTTCCGTTAGGTTTCCGGGGTCCGGAAACCAAGTTATTTTTGCTGTGAGCGTATGGTGCTCAAGGAGGGACATCGCTTTTGGATGTTAAAGTGATAACACGATCAATAGCGTATGGTGGCCAAGGAGGGACATCGCTTTTGGATGTTAAAGTGATAAGATGATCAATAGCGTATGGTGGCCAAGGAGGGACATCGCTTTTGGATGTTAAAGTGATAACACGATCAATAGCTTATGGTGGCCAAGGTGGGACATCACTTTTGGATGTTAAAGTGATAACACGACCAATAGCGTATGGTGGCCAAGGTGGGACATCGCTTTTGGATGTTAAAGTGATAACACGATCAATAGCTTATGGTGGCCAAGGTGGGACATCACTTTTGGATGTTAAAGTGATAACACGATCAATAGCGTATGGTGGCCAAGGTGGGACATCGCTTTTGGATGTTAAAGTGATAACACGACCAATAGCGTATGGTGGCCGAGGTGGGACATCGCTTTTGGATGTTAAAGTGATAAGATGATCAATAGCGTATGGTGGCCAAGGTGGGACATCGCTTTTGGATGTTAAAGTGATAAGATGATCAATAGCGTATGGTGGCCAAGGTGGGATATCGCTTTTGGATGTTAAAGTGATAAGATGATCAATAGCGTATGGTGGCCAAGGTGGGACATCGCTTTTGGATGTTAAAGTGATAACACAAGACGAAAAAGTTGCATGTGTATATCAGGTTCCCTTCTCTTATTATAGCTATATCGTGAAGAGCGATGCTTATGTTGAACACTGGATTGTCTGGTCCATAGTCGATTATTTACAGACCGCCGACATATAACTGGAATATTGATGAGTGCGGCGTTAAACAACAAACCAAGCAACCAATCTATCACTTTCTTGCCATGTTATTTCCGTCTCGTGATATAATTTTCTAGTCTCACGACGGTAACTGAAGGATCGAAAGCGATGTCCCTTCACGGCCACCATATTTCAGTTATATACACTGGGTCTTTTTTTTCAAAAGAATAGCCAGTAATTTTTGTTTCAATAGCATATTTCCTCAGGGACTCAAAGAACAACGTGATAACAGAAAAGGCATTCTATAAAAGGAATCCAGAGTTCTTGTAGTTTTGAACATCTAAATAATAACATTGCAGCTAATCTCTGTGGGTCTGGGTCCCGATCCACAAAGTGTTCGTAACATTACGACCTATCGTAACGCTATACTACTTCACTGGCTAACGAATGACGTACTGCTACTAAAGCTTAGTGGATAGGGTCTCTAACCCTATGGTTAATTACCTTCCTAGTCAAATGAGGGCGGCGGCGTAGCCTAGTGTGTAAAGCGTTTACCGTCACGCCAAAGACCCGGTTCGATTCCCGACATGGGTACAACGTGTGAAGCCCCTTTCTGGTATCCCCGACAGTGATAATGCTGGAATATTGCTAAAAGCGGCGTAAAACTAAACTCACTCACTCACCATAGTCAAATTCACCCAATCTGAAGTTATGACAGGTTCAGGTCATAAAAAGACAATTCTAATTAAGATATATGTATAATTTATAGCTCGTCACGCTGAAGGCCAGGCTTCGATTCCCAAAATGGGTACAATGTGTGGAGCGCATTTCTGGTGTCCCCCGGCTGTGATATTGCTCGTGATAGTGCACAAAGCGGCGCAAAACCATACTTATTCACTCATTAAATGGCCAAGCAAACACACTTGTCACAGATCGTATGTTTACTAGAATACAGCAAAGTCGTTTTCCAGGGGAACGTCTTCATGTACAGATTCGTATGTTGAATACTTACAGGTGGAGACCGGACCACGTTAACGCCGTCTGGCAACGTGGTCGAAGACAACCATATTTGGTTGTTTGCCCGCGTTGGGGGCACTGGTTACAACGCTATCACGATTGATGGCGTCGGCAACGTCGCCCGTTACAACCACCTCCACGACGGCCAGTACACAGGGGTGATGTGGAGGGTATGTGTGTTGACGGCATAATCAGTTCATTGATTCATTCAGTCTAAAGTTCCTGCCACATCAGCAGACCAGTCTTCATGAGAAGGTTTCTATGTTAGGTTAACTTGTGTTTCTTAATGGTTTGTGCGTGTGTGAAATAAACATACAAATGAATATAAAATGACATATAGAAAATGGTCAACTGTAATATATGTTATATTTAGGATTACATTTTCTCAATAAAGTACAGATTCTAGTACTTTTGTTAAATGGCATTTCATATCCATAGCTTTCGGTCGTGGTGTCGTTCAAATTAACACTTGTAAGATGGGTACACACGGTTCGTGATCTGGAGACCGCCTCCGTAGTGTAGTGGTTAGAGCGTCCGCCCGGAGAGCGGAAGGTCGCAGGTTCGATCCCCGACTGCGTCATACCAAAAGACGTAAAAATATGGTATTTGTTGGTCCCTGCCTGGCGCTCGGCATTAATGGGTACAACAAGGACTGGTCGGCTCGGAGTCAGTAAAATATGTCTGAGTGGGATATTCATGCTTCACTGCGGCTTGGTATCTCAGTGAGCTAGCACTATAAAACCAGCTTAAGTCTGGGCTAGTACAAGCAGCTGCACATACACATACCCACGCATGCACGTCGTCATATGAGCGAAATATTCTCAAGCACGATGTTAAACCCAATTTCACCTCACCTCACCTCGTGATCTGGACAGTCAGTGGCTGAGTGGGCTAGATAGCTGAGGGCCCGGGTTCAAATCCCGGATAGGACGCAACCTAACAAAATACTAGATTCTGTTCTTTACTGAGAAAGTTTAAACATAAATATAACATTATGTAAAACGTACATATGCATATTTTTGATTATTGAATGTCTATCTTTTGAAAGCTTTAAATTCGACTAATATCTGTGATCTAATTTCAGCTGACTGTCCAGTAACTTAAAATGAGTCACTGCAATCATGCATTTGTATAAAGTATCCATAATTTTTATTTGATCAATGTGTGACTATGCACTCATTAATTGCTGCACTGATACACATTATATATTTCAGTTATTACACAAATGGTGGCGGTGGTGGTGAAATTGGGTTTAACATCGTGCTTGAGAATATTTCGCTCATATGACGACGTGCATGCGTGTGTATGTGTATGTGCGGCTGCTTGTACTAGCCCAGACTGAAGCTGGTTTTCTAGTGCTAGCCCACTGAGATACCATGCCGCAGTGAAGCATAAATACCCCACTCAGACACATTATACTGACTCCAAGCTGACCAGTCCTTGTTGTACCCATTAATGCCGAGCGCAAGGCAGTGACCAACAAGTACCATAGTTTAACGTCTTTTGGTATGACGCGGTCGGGGATCGAACCCGCGACCTCCCGCACTCCGGACGGACGCCCTTACCACTACACCACGGAGGCGGTCACACAAATGGTGGTATAACGGAATGGATTGAATAAAACGTGTCCCATTTTCATCAGTTTAGTTTGCGAAGCGAAGGTATTCGACACAAACAGGTTAACCTTTCTTCTTAAAACCCCAACATATATTGTCAAAAGACCACAACCTATTCATATATTAGAATGCTTGAACCAACTAAACCACTTCTTGGTTGCCAGGGTAACGACAACATAATGGAGTACAACCACATTCACCACATGTGTGCCAACAGTACTGATTGTGGCGGGGTGCACTCGGGAAGAGACTGGGCTGCAGTGAGTAGCAAAGAAAATACTATCTTATGTACGCAATACTTGTTTTCGTGAATTTACTCTTCTGTGTTTCCCCGGAGACCCCTTGCATAACTGCTTCGAGATATTCCGCGTTTCTTAATTATTCCCTTGTATGCAACAGCAAATATGTAAATGTTGCGTTTGTCAATGATATGAAAGAATTCTTGGTTTGTTCTGAAGCAATGATTTAATTGAAGAAATTATTAACACCATTAACTGCAGCGTGGCAACCTGATCCGATACAACTACATCCACCACGTAGTGAAGCTCATGCCTGGTGCCGAAAACAGGGGCATCATGCTGGACGACCAGTACTCCAGCGTCACCATCGAACACAACGTCTTCTACAAGGTTCCAGACACTAACCCTATCTCCAACTGAGTTCATTACGCGTTATCTATGAGAACTAAACAGCCTCTATTCCGTGTAAGACGACTTCCATAACAAACGCAGTGAAATTTGTAAAATAACGAAGAAGCTAAACAGATGGCTTGCTTGGCGACAAGGACGATCGCAATCACAACGGTATATACGTTGTAACCGTCGATATACAAAACGTTTCATTTCACAGAACCAATACCACGTCAACATCGGCGGCGGTCGAGACAACATCGTTCGATACAACGTGTTCTACGATGCTGTTGACTACCCCATGAACGTGGACTTCCGTGGTGTCCTGTATAACATCATCTCGGGCTCAGCTGTATGCTAAATTGATGGTAGGGATACCAAGGTCCCCTGACAACTGCTCCTTCATAAGAGTCTCCTTTTTCATCTGATAAACCACGTTTCTGTTACAAGGGGAGGTAGAGTGGGAGGGTAGTCGTTGCGTCTTCTTGGGTCTTGGCGATTATCTGAAGCCGGTCCTGATGTTAATTATCCATTAATGATCCATTTATGACTGATGTTTCTCAGGGAGGATCCTGCTATGGCATGTAGGAGTGGGTTCATCCACCCTTGCTTAAACCATAACCATCTTTGACAACTTTTACCTTCATCGTGTACTAACACAAATTGTCTTGTAACCCAATATGTTTCTAATTTCCAGACCTTTCCATACAAGACAAAACCGTGGTCAGAAAGGTATCCCAAACTGGCTTCCATAGATTCCAATTCTCCTATGGACCCAATGGGTAAGAAAGAAACCAAAGTACCCTCTTCCAACTCTTACTTCTGTATTCGCTATCACCAGCCAGATACTCCATCACTCCTATGTCCACGGGTTCTGTACCGTCATCAGACGAATTGCCATATCACCGATACTCCAATTTCCATTCTTAAAATTCTCGGGATGACATAGCAATGAAGATGAATACCCTTATCAAAAACATATACGCAAAGAAAAACATATACACAAAGAACTTAAATAGGCACGCCCTGTATCTTTGCAATGATAGATTTTCAACACGTACATAAAACTTCTCGTCCTGACCCGTATGATCCTTTGACTTATAAAAAACGACAAAATGATTGGAATCCAAGTTGATTTTATGATGATAATTGCTTATTTTAAATAAAAACCCACTGATTTTCATACACAACCATGTCTGTACAACTATGGCCCTGGAATGTTTAATGTGGAATTTATTGTGAACATTTAAAATGTCATTTTGCGTGTCTTACACGATTCAAAGACAATACCGAATGTAACCCCCACGTGACTGTATGACAGCCAGCACTCTCCTCCTCATACCCCCATCAGTCTCCTGGTCCTCTGAAGAGCTAGTCTACGCCATTCCTCGTGTAAAGCAGCTCCAATTGGGCCAGGTTCTGTACAGGAGGATCCCTTTGTTGCACACGACGACCAGTAGATAGATCAGTGTGGCAGATATGCCCCAAATGATTAAGATCGGGCCTCATTCAGTCATGAGATATGTCAGGGGGTGCTTAACTAAGGGCTTTGTACATAGATTGAATTGTTCTTGAAGGGCTTGTGTTGCACTGTAGAACACGTGAGGATCGTCTTCAATGTTTGGTGAATTTATCACCAAACCGCAAGTAATAAGAAGCTCTCTTTTTCTGTTCGTTTTGCATGTTAGAAGTCTCCTGCTGATACGAAAGTCAAATTTTGGACTCATCGAACAGGAAGACCATTGATAACCTCGACAAGTACACGCTTTTTGAAACCTATTATTTAAATGTTTGTAGATATGAACGCATTTTATGACTGCATTTAATTAGTTTGTCTGTTGTAGTCCCAGTGTCTGTGGTTTTTTCAGGCAATCAGATCTACGACAACGTTTTCTACAACAAACGTCCAGAGATCGTCCAATACCATGGCACTGGTCTCACCAAGAAGGAATACTACGACGTTCATGATAACTTTAAAGTAAGGCTCCGTTTCTTTTGAAAGTGTATCAATTAAACTAACTGGTAATGAAGATAATAATATGTTTATTTGCAATGTGAATTGTTTTCAAATATTTTATTTTTAATGTTCAATTACCCTGATCTTTCATTTTAGGCCAGTCCTGCTGATTTTTGGTCTCCTGGTGAATATGACTTCCGGTTCCGGTGTTCAGCAAAAACCTGGGCCAATCGAAACTCAGTTACCCAGCCAATCGATATCAATGCTATCGGACCACGTCATCCCACGGGACCCAAATACATGCAGAAAGGTAATCGCCTTGACATCTATGATGTGCCGCTCAAAAAGCAAATTATACATTGGTATAATGTACAGTATAACCTGGTTATAATGCCACCGTTTGTCCAGTAGAAAATATGGCATTATATCCAGGGTGGCATTATAACCAGGAAGGGCAGTTAGCGGTTCTATGCAATCAACAAGGTGACTGATCTGATGTCTCCTGTAATGAGCCTTGAATGGCTGGATAATCCCAGCATCTAGGGGCTGCAGGTGACTTGTTGTAGGTTGCAGGAAGTGTAAAGTCACATGTGTTATCCTATCTGGGATTAAAAGACTACTTAAAGCATTTATGAGTTTGGTCAATTAATTTGAGTCATGTCAATTAACCAATTACGGTATGTAAACGACATGCAGCCAGTGATATTGGCATTATAACCAGGGTAAAATTACTTTTGTTCCACAAACCATTGGCAGATGGCATTATATCCAGTTTGGCATTACAACCAGGGTATTATACAGGCAGGAAATCTTTTCTGACAAAAACATGGTATTATATCCAGGGGGCATTATAACCAGGGGCATTATAACCAGTGTGTACTGCACTTTTAAGAACATCTTTCTTCATAACAAACACGTGTAGACATTTTAGGTATCTGAAACTTGTCTTTTATGGCAGTTCAACCATTGAAGGGCTTTTTCTTTTCTTGTATCTGCGGCTTAAAATTATTTTATCATTGATTATTATCTACTTTTATTCCTGTCAAAAGCATGTAGCGAAAGATTAATTATGGAAAACACGACCGCTTCTTTTACAGCTATACGACAGTATCACAGCACGTCACACCCGGCTTCTTGTAGTGGACCTATCATCGGATAATGCCCACGCTGAACTTTATATGACAACGTGTATTTGATGATGTAAATAAAGTTGCAGATAATTACATGTGTATTGGATCACTTGTTCATCTGTTATCTACAGCTATACGACAGTATCACAGCACGGCACACTCGTCTTCTTGTCGTGGAGACCCGTGAAGGTCCAAGTTAGAATGTCCCTTACAGTATTCCATAGGTAACCCATGCTTGTCGTAAGAGGCGACTAACGGGATCGGGGTGGTCAGATTCGCTGACTTTGTTGACACTTGTCATCGGTTCCTAATTGCGCAGATCGATGCTCATGCTGTTGATCACTGGATTGTCTGGCTCAGACTCGATTATTTACAGACCGCCGCCATAAAGCTGGAATATTGCTGAGTGCGGCGTAAAACTAAACTCACTCTCTCACTCAAATATCCTTAGATAACAACTCACTGGTACTTCCAATCAAAACTAATCACTGTCAAATGTCCTTGGAGTAAAGCTCACTGATACTTCCATTTTAAAATCTCATTGGTACTACAAATTTTTCATACTTTTGAGGAGAGCGGAAGGTCGCGGGTTCGATCCCCGACCGCGCTATACCAAAAGACGTTAAAATATGGTACTTGTTGGTCCCTGCCTGACGCTCGGCATTAATACGTACAACAAGGACTGGTCGGCTCGGAGTCAGTATAATGTGTCTGTGTGGGGTATTCATGCTTCACTGCGGCATGGTATCTCATCGGGCTAACACTGTAACACCAGCTTCAGTCTGGGCTAGTACAAGTAGCCGCACATACACATACACACGCATGCACGTCGTCATAGGAGCGAAATATTCTCAAGCACGACGTTAAGCCCAATTTCACCTCCCCTCTTACTTTTTGCAAATTCCAAGTATCAGTCCGGGGGTCACCAGAAATGGGCTTTAAAAGTTGTACCCACGTTGGAAATCGAACCCAGGTCTTCGGCGTTATGGCTGTAACCACTAGGCTACCCCACTGGTGCGAATAGCGTCGTCGAATTGGTGTCAATGTCATCCGCCCATTTCAAATGTGGTGAACTACGCGTGCATGCAGCACGCACATGTTGATCCTGCACCTGTGACCACGATTTCAAGTGCCCAACCACCACTACGCAGGGGCTGACACAGCTATTTGAAAGAGAATGTGTGCACACTCTTGAGAAAAAAAGGGGAATGGGGGTGGTGCACACATCATTTTCACCCGTTTTCAGGAGAGTTCCAATGGTCATTTATAAACTTTCAGGACAAACAATCGCGATCTGCCTATGCTTCGTGTGTAGAATTTGCTGGTTATCATCCATGAGACATAAACAACCCTCATGTCACGCCTGTTGACGGTGAACGTGCAACTGACATGCTCCAGGCCGAGCAGTATATACAATGGGGGTAAAAATACACAAAGGAAAAAGTAATGATAAAATAGAAGGGAAAGAAAACCGAAGAGGTACATTCGTGCATTTGAGTATATATAGAGACACTTTTTGCCTTCCTTGCTCTCCTCCCCCAAGTAGACGACCCAACACCAAACAGGCATACGGAAAACAAAATGGAGTCCAGTAGCATATACAATTGCGGTAAGAATACTTAAAGGAAGAAATAATGATAAAATAAGAAGGGAAAGAAAAACGAAGAGGTACATTCGTGCATTAGAGTATATATAGAGACACTTTTTGTCTTCCTTGTTCTCCTCCCCAGCGCAGAAAAACAACAATAGTGTGTCAATGGGGTTTGGACCACCCCCTAGAGAAGTGTCCCCATGTCTTGCTTTCCGACAGAGAGAAACGAATCCTGGAGCGATCGGGACACATCTTCGAGGAGCAATACGAGATCCCTCTACGGTTTCTCGAGCTTTATTTGTTGTGCTGTCACAAATTCGTAGAAGCAGGCAAAATAGTCTATTTTGACTACATCTACCCACCCAACCAATTTCGACCTGCAACAGGCAAACTCTGAATCGTTCTCACCGACGGCTACTGCCCGGAACCCAAGGACAGACACAACCGATGCACCGACTGCCTCGGCGCTATATCGGAACACCCCACTCTCTTCGCACCAGACAACTCGACCTGCAAGTGGAACGCCATAGACCACTCCTTCGGCAGCAAGAAATGCGTTCTCTGGGAAAAGAAGCGATAGAGTATACTCCCCAGGAACGGCTCCCACGCGAGGTTCCCAACGAAATCACGATCGACGGCTGTTTCTTGAATATAGAGAACCTGTACGACAACGACTGCCTCCTGTGGTGCCTGCGATACGAACGCCTCCTCGACAAATTGGTGGACAATTGTCCATGCGAGAAAGATTCTTGTATCTTCTGGAAGCTATCCGGGAAAGCAGACCCACCAATGTGCCGCAATACTTGACATACCGACTTGCCCAACTACGGCTTGTCCAAGGATATGGAGGTGGCAGCCCCTCCGTACAATGAACACTGAAAAGCCGCAGACGTTCCGGAAGGAATCTACACGTGCAAAAAGTTTGCCGTAGCGAAATACGAAGAGAAGAACCGACTGTTGCTGCTACTCGATTCGCCGACTGGAGAAACTATTCCGGTCTACGACTACAAGATAAGAGAAACGATTCGAGACGCCGGCGGAATAGAACGCCTACGGTTGGGTGCCGTTGTAGGAAACCAGACAATCCAGTGATCAACATACGCAACAGGGATACGATGACATGTATAAACCAAGTCAGGGAGCCCGACCACCTGATCTTGTTAGTGGCCTCTTACAACAGCATGGGTTACTGAAGGCCTATTCTAACCCAGATCTTTCATCAGAGTTGTCCGCTGAGTAGAGTGAGTGAGTGAGTGAGTGATTATGGTTTTACGTAGGCTAACATCTAGTCTCTGAACTGAGACAAAATCATATTATTAAAATATCATGAAAAGGCGCCCATAGACTTTCTTCATTTACATGAAACTTTGGTAATCTAGGATCGCAACATATTCTTGACTTGAATGGGCTTTCTTGGATATATACTAAGCAGCAAAAGAAACGTCAGTTTGGAATTTTCCTTCGCAGAAACGGATAACTGTAAAGTCATTCATGTTTTGGTTTTATATTTTTGATAACATCTCCAACCTTACCTGAGCAAAGACATTCTTTCCCAAACTCAGAATTGAACCCAGGAAATGGTCTCAAAAACGCAACCTGATCTCGGAGATGGCGCGGTGTTCTCGATGTTTTTCATGCAACTCATGCTGCACGCGCTGTTCACAAGGACCAGCCCTATAAAATGCACCCCCAAACCTGGATGACGCGACTCACGACAGCTCAGAGGAACCAGGCGCTAGGAAGACTTGAAGCTGTCCACACTGCACAAGCCGTTGCCAATCACTTCCAGGTCAACGTCAACCATCTACAGGCTGCAGCAACGTTTCCGGGCCAACAACACCACAAATGATCGCCCCCGTACTGGCAGACCAAGGGTGACCACAAGACGACAAGACCGCCATGTTGTGCGGCAGCATGTACAGAATCCCTTCATGCAGGCATCCGAAACAGCACGCCAGACAGTGGGAAGACACGGAAGACCAATCAGTACTGATACAGAACGCCGACGTCTTAACAGCGGGAACCTCCATTGCCGTAGACCTTATCCTCATCCCTCGTCATCGGCATGAACGTCTACAGTTTGCCCTACAACACCAAAACTGGCGATACAGGCAATGGAAAACAGTTCTGTTCACAGATGGTACTGCGTATCAAATGCAGAACAAGAAATGACGACGACGTGGCCAGCATTACTCAGACCAATGTGTTATGGAAAGAGACTCATGGGGAGGTGCAAGCATCATGGTATGGAGTAGAATAAGCCTGAACCAGAGTGTGGGTCCTGTGGTGTTCCAGAACCTTAGTCCTGGGAGAGGAGGCGGCATCACAGCGGTGCGCTACATTGACCAAGCTCTCAGACCCCACGTCATTCCACATTTCGCACGTCACCGGAACAACATTTTCCAGCATGATAACGCCCGGGCCCATACTGCCAGAGCTACACGGGACTTCCTACAGCACAACGGTGTCAACATTATGCAGTGGCCAGCCCTGGCGCCAGGCCTTTCTCAGAGTGTGCTTCCAGGTGCCAATGGCCTTTATCAATCGATTGGTGCACTCCATGCATAGAAGCTGTGCTGCAGTTATTGCCGCATGTGGTGGTCACACTAGATACTGAAGTCAAGAGTCTGAATGGACTGCAAACGTAAACGTGATGTTTTGAAATTGTTATTCATTGATGTGACAAGATATTGTAAAAAATGTTTTTGATCCGCTTATTATGTCCATTTTCTGTACTGACGTTTTCTTTGCTGCTGAGTATATTTGTTTCAGGGTCTGTATGATATCCTAGGTTTTACGTCGCTTTTAGCAATATTCCAGCAATATCACAGCGTAGGACACCAGATATGGGCTCCACACATTATACCCACGTGGAGAATAGAACCCGTGTCTTCAGCGTGACGAGCGGACACTTCAACCATTCGACTACCCTACCGCCCCTGTTCGAGGATTATATGACGTTGTCATTGAAATGTGTAAAGACAAGAACCTTATCATTCAAAGTGGTTTGTGAAAAGCATGGCAAAATATGAATTCAGGCAAAACACAGAGCCACATCAGTGAACGTGCTCTGTTTCTTGGAAATCGGATGTTTATCAGTGAGACACATGCAGGCCAGTTTTCAATCTTAGGTCAGCTTCCATTAAAACATGCTTTCTTCCAAGTTAACAATTTTCTTGTAAATATTCATCAAATTCCAGTCTGAATAATCAGCCAAATCGCAGCTCGATAGGTCACGATATAATCTGATCTGATTTAGTGTTTGTTTTGCAGTCCAAAAACGTGCTTATCTTTATCTGTCTCAAGGCCATGCTCTCAAGCTGTTAGTTCCCGTCCTGTTATCTGTTTGATCCATAGGGCCGTCGTCATTTCTGTAACACTTCCACCCATGCAATGACGTGGGTAGTGGCTCTGTGTCTGGGGCTGTTGTTGCCCCTGGGTCACTCCAAGACAGTCCACATCTATGTCAGCCCCAAGGGATCAGACGGGAACTCGGGGTAAGAACTCTCATTATTTTGTATGATTAATTGCTGAAGGTGTATATATTTGGTGTAAGACACAACTTGCATGAGATTCATCCAAATGCAGAAAAACCGGGACGTATTGAATTTTTTAATCATGTATGACGTCGAAGCCTAAGTCGCAAGAAATGTAATAGTCATGCATCCTTCAACTCAACTCAACTCAACTCATTCATTGTAACATCATCTTAACGCCGCACCCAGCAATATTCCAGCTATATGGCGGTGGTCTGTAAATAATCAAGTCACGACCAGACAATCCAGTGATCAACAGCATAAGTATCGATATACGCAATTGGGATACGATGACATGTGTCAACCAAGTCAGCGAGCCTGACCACCCAATCCCGTTAGTCGCCTCTTAGGACAAGTATGGGTTGCTGAAGATCAACCCTAATCCGGATCTTCACGGGTTGATTATACGTGGCATCTGATAGGAACTCGGGTTAAGGACTTAACCTTATTTCACACGATCATGGCCTTTTTGCTTTTGTTCAATGTCATAAACGTATACAGAAGATATGAGTAAGTGAGTTTAGTTTTACGCCGCACTCAGAAACATTCCAGCTATACGGCGGCGGTCTGTAAATAATCGAGTCTATACCAGACAATCCAGTGATCAACAGCATGAACATCGATTTGTGCAATTGGGAACCGATGATATGTCTCAACCAAGTCAGCGAGCCTGACCACCCGATCCCGTTAGTCGCCTCTTACGACAAGCATCGGTTGCTGAAGATCAATATTCTAAGCCGGACCTTCACGGGTAACAGAAGATATGATGAACATTATTTCATACTGAATTAGGACATTACTGACGTATTTAGGACAGAAAATATATTCAAATTGATTTTAATGAAATAATGGTCATGTGTTGGATATACTTTCACGATACTAAAGATACACCATGGTTGAATTTCATACATAAATATACATAAATATATGTTCATGCCTAAACACACCATATCTCCTCCAGGGGCTTGCCTTTTGTCGGGTCTCGACTGATTATTTAAGACCCCTTGGTATAGCTGTAACACACACTTCCACAAAGAACTCAAACATTTATTTTTTATCACAAATATATGTTGTTCACAAAATGTCAACTTCATTTCAGAAAATGTAGATGATATTTCAGGATAAAAGACACGTCACCGAAAAGTTAGTTGAGCCCTGTAGTAGTTCCGGCATAGTTATATTTCACGACAGTGATAATATCAAATTTCTGTCTCTGCAGTGAAGATATCACTTTCCTAAAACTCAGAAAGCTCAGTCTTTCACACTTAAATATATAATAAAAATATATCTACCTTTCTAAATTCTTGAAACTGCCAAGCAACGATCCCCACTCCCAGTTACTCAATGTCTATAGTCATTCCAGAACCTGATTGGGACCCAACCCGACCAAACTATGTCCACAGCCATTCCAGAACCTGTTTGGGACCCACCCCACCAAACTATGTCCACAGCCATTCCAGAACCTGATTGGGACCCAACCCCACCAAACTATGTCCACAGTCATTCCAGAACCTGATTGGGACCCAACCCCACCAAACTATGTCCACAGCCATTCCAGAACCTGATTGGAACCCAACCCCACCAAACTATGTCCACAGCCATTCCAGAACCTGATTGGGACCCAACCCCACCAAACTATGTCCACAGCCATTCCAGAACCTGATTGGGACCTATCCTCACCAACCCTCGATCCCCTACCTTCTCAACGCATTGTGTATGTATTCCCATACACAATTCATATTGACCTGCCCAGGTTGGATGTCTCCCATCCGGTGGCCACCCTGGACAAGGCCAGACAGTTACTGGACAGCGGTGGCATCAGGGGCAACAGTGAGTAGGTTCTGCAGCTCAGCTTTCATATTTCTGCGGCAGAAAATTTATCATAACAATGTTTCCATTAGTTCCCTCTGTTTGGATAGTGATATTGTAGTGCATCCTATATTAAAGTGAGTGAGTTTAGTTTTACGCCGCACTCCAGGTATACGCAATATTCCAGGTATACGGCGGCGGTCTGTAAATATTCGACACTCAATCAACAGCATGAGCATCAATCTGCGCAATTGGGAACCGATGACAAGTGTCAACCAAGCCAGCGAGCCTCACTACAAGATCCCGATAGTCGCCTCTTCCGACAAGCATGGGTTACTGAAGGTTCATTCTAACCCGGACTTTCACGGGTCTCCTATATTATAATGCGTATATGTATTGCCAAGATGCGAATAGTATTGATAGTGATAACAGAGTATTAAATTGTTTTCTTCCACAATCTGTTCGTCCCTGTAGCTGTGTACGTGGAGTTGATGGGAGGCTACTACAACCTGCACTCCACCCTACACTTCACCCACGCCTACACCCAGCCGGTCACCTTCAGAGCCTACCAGGACCAGGAGGTCCACGTGGTGAGTGAGCACAAACGAGATCATTGGTGATGTCTTTGTGATGAGTAAGAACAGATGTGGTGAGTAGGAACACTCGTGGTGAGTAGGAGGTCCTCGTGGTGAGTAAGAACACCCTCGTAGAGTGGAGACGGAGGTTTCATAGCATCAGTTGGAGGCACAAGTTCTCAAAGGTTTAAATATAGAGACGCTGAACCAGTTATAGGTAAGAGGAAGCTGAAACAGTTATAACTGTGGTACAAAATACAGGAATGTTACTAACCATATATCAATAACAATATCCATTGTGACTTCAACAGACAGGAGGCAAGCAGATCCCAGCGCACCTGTTCACCCATGTGACAGACCACAATGTGTTGAATATGCTGCCATCAAATTCAAGATCAAAGGTAAATACACTTTGTGGTCTCCCCCGATTTTGCATCAATAAACATCACTATTATCATCATGGTCATCATTGTCCCAGAGACACTCGCTAATTACTGCGCCACACTGTTACCCTATTCAATAAATACTATGAAGTACAAGCGAGAAGGTCCAATCAGACGGTATTTGGTCCCCTGATCATGATCAAGTTCTTCTCTTTCAGGTGATGCAACTGCACTTACCCAGTGCCGGTGTCACCGACTACGGCAAGATGAGCAACTTCGGCTTCTACCGGTCCAGGACTTCATGGTTGGAGATTTTCATCAACGGGGAGCCAGCCAGATTGGCCCAGTACCCGAATGAGGTAGGAAGAAAGAGCCATATTGGCGCACTACCATTGGAGAGAGGAACAGTTTGCATGTCATACTTATTTTACATACTCAATGTCAGAAGTGTCACGAATTTCGTATGGCACTAATAAATGCGAGCAAATATCTTTATTACCGATTATTTCTTCAACCTTTTGATCTCCATTCTGGAGAATGTACAGATGACGATGTGGTATAATTGTCGTAATCCTCAGCTAGGACGCCATTTCGGAGGTAATGTCATTGCCACAATGCACATGTCTTCCAGAAATTCCTGAACATCAATTCAGTCCCTGGTGGGGAGGCATGGCAAGATCATCACCTATAGCACACAGGAGGATTCCAGATGGGTACATGAGAAGGAACCATGGGCTTACGGCTTCTGGTAACATTCATAACTGATTTTACTTTGACGTACTGCAGAACGAGCTAAAAGAAAATTGAACTCGGATGGTTTTGAACAGAAGTTTCATTGAGTTAGATGGGGTGTGGCCAACTTGAGGAGTTTTAAATGAGAAGCTGCTGCATGACATGTCAGAATTGGATCAAGATTTGATTAAACGGGTCGTATTTTGTTGTTGTGTTTTGATACCATTTTCAGATTGAAATGAATAGCCACCTCAAACAAGTTCAGCTAACTATATAATGTGTATGTTACACATAGATTATCAATGCTGCTGCCTTCACAGGTACTGGAGCTGGGCGGACGATGCAGCGGCCATCAGCCACATTGATACCCAGAAGCATCAGATCACTCTGGCAACTGACACACACTATGGAGTCAGAGTAGGTCAGTAGAGTTCATCTCTACATTTGTTTAAAATGTTCGACATCTCACTCACCATGTACACTGCCTTTTGATCTTTTAGAATATTATTCCGCGTCGAAAACCAACCTATTTGGGTTTTAATGGTTTCTGTAAATGCCAATGGGTGTTGTGATTTAAACATAGACACTGTGAGAGCTCAACAACAGAACAAAGATCAGCCAGGTTGTGAACTGAAGCATGGGGCATATTCAACAAGCAGACCAACAAGCATTTGCTAACAAAGTATATAAATTACTTTCAGGAGACCAAATTGACCAAATTGAACCTCAGAATAGGTCTACCTTTCAGTGTTAGTATTGTGGACTTTTAAATAATTAATGTAGCATAAATAATTTCAACGATACCAGCCACTGTCTTGACACTTGGAGGTGTTCCATTTTGTCTAGGTCATTACAACCCGGCCCATCTCGCCTATGCTGACAATCAGGGTGGCTACTTCCGTGTATTCAACATGCTCACAGAGCTGGATCAGCCGGTGAGAAAAACTTCCTGTTCCCCTTCTTCTTCTTCTTCAGAACAATACATTACAAAAGAGTGTAAATACATAACCTGTAATCGTGACACACTCGAATTAGGAAAACACCTTTACCAAGGAATTTTCCACGATCCATATCATTACTACTATTACGACCTCAGTGATATATACTCACCCAAAAAAAGAAACTGTGCATCGCAAAAAATGCTTATAGATAAAACAGAATGCATTTGTCTGCACACATGAACGATGTGAAATGTTTTTATTGTACCGTAGGGACGTAAAGGGGTCCACAAGTTGAAAGGGTAAAAACAGAAAGTCAACAGAAAGTTCAACACAGCTGTACAACGACACCTCATGGATGAGATTAGTCGAGCGTGAAATACCTGGGGGATGTTATTCCATATGTGGACAAGCGCTACTTGGATATCATTAAGCGTTGCGGGGAGATTTGGCAGACGTCGAAGGCGGCGATCAATTTGTTCAACTGGCGAAAGATCCGTGATACTGCTGGCTTGGGCAACACATCCAGTTGTTGTTGCTGGAGATATTGTTGCACAACACGGGTTGTATGTGGACATCACACGTCTCCACCAAAACAGGGGATATCTGAGGTGTCGTCTGCACCATTGTATCCGTGCCTGGTGGTGATGTAACGTCACAAGGAGACGAATTGCTGGTCTCCTTGCACGAAAGCCGTAACTTCGTAGGCGGTTGATGACGGTTGGAGGATGAATCCGCCTGCAATTGGGGATACTATGGGCTGTTGTTGTTGCTTGTTGACACCGATTCCGCATATGATCAGTCGAATCTTGCACAGGGGTCGTTACTCTTGGCCTCCCTGAACGTGGGCGATCCCTGACGTCGTTTTGTTGACCATATCGACGGACTAATGCTGATATGGTGTTACGGTGACAATTAAAATGTTGAGCAACCTCCCGCGGGATATAACCAGACCGTAGCATACCCGGGGCCATGTGTCGTTCACCTGTTGTTAATCTTGGCATTACTTTGTGGGGGCCGCTTTGCGATATTCAGTTGGCAATGTGTACGTTTGGATTGGCCATGTATGGGCTTTAAGTAGGCATATCATTCGCACTTTTGCATGCATTTCACACTTCTTACAGGCAACAGCATGCCTTCTTCTTCACGTGTCTCATACAGTTTCGTTAACACGTGTACCTCTCTGTTCCATAGCACTCAGGTATTTCTAGGTTTGAATTTCGTGCTCATCTGATGTTTACTTTTTGCAATATAATAAAAAATTTAATGCACACTTTCTTTTTCGGACGAGTAAAATTTTGCGTCACGTTCTCTTCAGGGAGAGTACTATCTGGACCGATCCAATGGCAACTTGTACATCTGGCCCAACACAAAGACGGGCACCTTGTCCTCCTCTGACGTCATCACTGTGTCTCTCATCAACGACTGCATCAGGCAAGTCTTCCTTCTTCTGTCAATTGAAAAGGGTGAAAATGAACATAACCATTTTCAGGAGCAAAAGCAAAAAAAATGTTTACCTGCCACTGGGTATTTTGAGGGACTTTCCAGGCCAATAACTTGATAATGTTGATTTATAAGAATGTAACAGAAGCAACCTTTGTTTTTACTAAGCACAATACAGCTGATTTTATTCATAATAATTATGAATAAAACATCCATTAAGACGCATCCCTGATTTGACTTTTACACTCAGTGCAATCTGTCTCAGCATATATTCGATATAAGATTTAATTTTATTTGAAATCAGAATCACCCAAGCATGTCAAAATGTACATATTTTTTAGTCACAAATTATACCATGTCTACCTCAAATCTCTACCAGCATGGACCGAGGGGTGGCAAACCTCAATTTTGTGGGGTTCACTCTGGAGGCGTGTCGCCACGAGGGCATCAGAGGAGACAGCTTACATAACATCAACGTCCAGAACATGGAAATAAAGAATATGGGTGAGTTATGACAGTGGGTATAATAATTGTATGATAAGGCCACTTAAAAACACTGAACTCCACGCCGCACTAAGTGCATACAACATAATGGACATTATCATTACCGGGGATGACCCAAGCTGCCTGTGAGGAGCTAGAAGGTTAATGGACAAATCACTTATCCCACCGGGTACCCGTTTTTTGTTGGGTGAGAAATCCTAGAAATTGTCATGAGGTCACCCATCCATGGGATCGACGTGATCAGCATTGCTTAACTTGAACTGAATTGTGACCCCGGCTCAATGCACAGGACCACAAACAATCACATGGAATATTTTGTTAAAATGGCAATATTCAAGTTTCAATGAAACAACTTCAAAATACAGCAAATTCACAAACCATTACTTACATGTGCTACTAAAGTGTCCTTTGGTCTATAAAGTCCTCTTTTTACTTTTTGTCAGGTGCTGGGGGTGTCCACTTGACATCAAGTAGCCATGTCACGGTATCCCGTTGTGAGGTCTATTACACCAACGGAGGCGTTATCATCAGCGGTAACATTGCCACTCAAAATAGTGTCATCGTGTTATGGGTAAAGAAACAACCGTTTGTTTTCGAACTAATCATACGAAAAAGTGAACAACTTTATACAAGCCACCAATCGAATATATATGATAGTTATGGCGCGAGAACCTTCTAGAAATTTGTGACGTCCTCCAACATATAATGCGACGATAAAATATCAAATTAGGATCATGACTTGGAACTGGGTGAGATTCCAACAAGGTGACAATGTGTTGTGTTTCTGGATGCCATGCCAGCTTGGTATGCTACTAGAAGCGGCAAAACAGAATACTCGTTCACTCGATGATTGGCAGACTTTACCATTGAATACCTTTGGACGTTCGTACGTCAATAAAATCCACACCCGCGAAGATACTGGGTTAGAATTGACCTTCAGCAACCCTTGCTTGTAATACCAGGCGACTAACGGGTTCGGGTGGTCATCCAACTTTAGCAGAATTCTGGCAATATCAGGGAACACCAGAAATGGGCTTAACACATTGTACCCATCTAGAGAATCGAAACCGGAACTTCGGCGTGGTAAGCGAACGCCTTAACCACTTGGCTACCTCACCGACCCTGACAAATATAGTAGCTGTTATTGCTGTATGACTTGTGAACATATTTGGTTATATATTTCTTTGCATGCAGGTGGAGACCGGAAGACGTTAACGCCCTCTGGCAACGTGGTCGAAGACAATCATATTTGGAAGTTTGCCCGCGTAGGGGGCGTTGGTTACAACGGCATTTCTCTAGGGGGCGTTGGCAACGTGGCCCGATACAATCACCTTCACGACGGCCAATACACAGGATTGATGTGGGGGGTATGTTTACACATTCCACCATTAATTCAGTCGGGCATGGTTCATTGCAAAGTTCTGTAGCATATCGTTTTTTCTTTATTATGTTATTTTCTCATTCTAAACGATCATATATTACACCTGAAACGCTGTATGAGACCCAGTGACACCGACTGATAACTGTAACCAACATGCATGAAAAAGGTGCGTGGATCAACTTGATTAAAAACGGACAGTGCACAACACCTTAAGGTCCACTTTGATCTGGATCTAGACATTGTCGTTGTGTGTCAATAAACGTATAATTAGGTACAAATCTTCAATCCTTGTAATCTGATGTTACTCAGTTCGAGACTCAGATGATTCGTTTCTCATGGTAACTTATTTTTGTGGAGTAGGGTTTGTGTCTTTGGCGCATTGTAACCATAAAACACGTCTAACTTCTCAATAATAACTTGGGGCGGTGGTGTACCCTAACGGTTAAAGCGTCCGATCGTCACGTAGAGGACAATGACTGCGTTCCCCACATGGGTACAATGTGTGAAGCCCATTTCTGGTGTCCCCCGCCGTAATATTGCTTGACAATTGCTAAAAGCGGCGTAAAACCCACTCACTCACTCTATGATGACTTTGATTAATGATCTAAACTCAAAAATCTTTTTGACTAGATGTAGACATTGTCGTGAGTTTCTGTTCGACTGTAGATTACGTATCCATTAATTAGTCTTCTGATATACATGTAATCATTTGATTGCGTATACGAACTAGGTTATGTTTGAACAGCTTGAATCAAACTCTCTAGCACTGAAAATTGGCCCTGTAGCTTGAACTCATTTCAAACTTACCACAGGTTGTTGGGACAAGGTTTTTGGCCAACGCGTACTGGCAAATTGATCACAACCTATCCATACAGTCCTGTAGATATTTGAACCACTAACCCTCTTCTGGGTTGCCAGGGTAACGACAACATAATGGAGTACAACCACATTCACCATATGTGTGTGAACAGCACTGATTGTGGCGCAGTGCATTCTGGGAGAGATTGGGCTGCGGTGAGTAGCAAATGTAATGATAGATCGTAAACTTTATTTATCCTTTTCAATCATTTATTTTCAATTAGGAAAGGAACAGTGAATGTCATCCTTACCCCAGTTTACATCCAACAAATTATGGAGTTTCGTAGTTTATGATTACCAGAATGAATTTCATGAGCAGCAAAACACGAGGATACAATGTACTTGAGTTTTTTCCATGACCATTTTTTCTATCAATCCCTGTCAATAATGATGACGTGGAAAACAAAAATGACTGCGTGGCATGGTATTATCTGCAGCGTGGCAACGTCATCCGATACAACTACATCCACAACGTTGTCAAGAACATGCCTGGGGCAGAGAACAGGGGCATCATGCTGGACGACCAGTACTCCAGCGTCACCATCGAACACAACGTCTTCTTTCCAGGTAGACATTCATCCAACCTCTCACATCTGAATATTGGGTCCTGAAAATCTTTTTGTTTCTCAGAACAAAAACACACCTTCCGCACGGTACCACTACTACTATACCTATGAGGATGCGGGTGGAAATTGGTCTTCAGTAACGCCATGCTTCTCTTAATGGGCCACTAACGGGATAGGGTCGCTGACTTGGTTTCCATCTTATCACAATTGCGTAGATCAATGCTCATGATGTTGACCACTGGTTTGTTTGGTCCATACTCGATTATTTACAGACCGCCGCCATATTCTACTACTACTACTGCTACTACTACTACTACACTACTACTACTACTACTACTACTACTACTACTACTACTACTACTACCACTACCACTACTACTACAACTCACTACCACTACTCACTACTACTACTTACCACTCACTACTACTACCACTCTACCACAACCACCACTCACTACTTCACTACCACTGCTACCACTACTACTCAACCACCACTACCACTACCACCACTACCACCACTCTACATCACTACCACTACCACCACTACCACTACCACTCACCACTCCACCACTACCACCACCACCACCACCACTCACCACTACCACCACCACCACCACCACTACCACTACCACACCACCACCACCATCACTCACTACCACTACTCACTACCTACCTCTACCACCACACTACCACTACCACCACTCCCCCACCACCACTACCACCACTCCACTACCACTCTACCACTACTCACCACTACCACTACCACTTACCACACCACCACCACTCTACACTACCACTACCACCACACTCACTGCCACTACCACTACCACCACTCACTTGCACTACCACCACCACTCACCACCACCACCACTACTCACCACCACCACTACCACCACCACCACTTTCACCACCACTTCACCACCACTACCACCACCACCACCACCACTCACCACTACCACCACTCACCACTACCACTACCACCACTACCACCACCTCACTTCACTACTACCACTCACCACCACTACTACTACTACTCACTACCACCACTACTACTACTACTCTACTACTACCACTCTACCACTACCACTACTACCAATACTACTACTACTACCACTCTACCACTACTACTACTACTACTACTACCACTTGTACTACTACTACTACTACCACTACTACTACTACCACTACTACACTACACTACTACTACTACTACTACTACTACTACTACTACTACTACTACTACTTACTACTACTACTACTACTACTACTACTTCTACCTCTACTACTACTACTACTACTACTACTATCACCAAAACTACTCCTGCTGTTGTTGCTGCTGTTCGATGCATATGCCTCATCTATGGCACAGATTATATGACTCACGTCAAAGGATCATTATGCACTCACTATTCAATCTCTTCTCCCTTAGGGTTTCCATCGTATCCCAACTGCGTAGATCAATGCTCATTACGTTGACCACTGGATTGGTCATACTCGATTATTCTCATTTAATTGATAAAGCGTCACGCCGAAAACCCAGGTTCGATTCCCCACATGGGTACAATGAGTGAAGCCCATTTCTAGTGTCCCCCGCCGTGACATTGCTGGAAAATTGCTAAAAGCGGCGTAAAACTAAACTGACTTACTCATTCATCTCCCTACGGAGGTGTACAATACAAGCAGCTTATAACGTATGAAGCAAAGTGCGGTCGCACACACTGATTGATATGTTAGGTGTAAACATTGATTTCATGTAATGACAGAATCAATACCACGTTAACATTGGCGGCGGTCGTGACAACATCATTCGCTACAACGTCTTCTACGATGCCGTCAACTATCCCCTGAACGTGGACGGCCGTGGTCTCCGGTCTACCAGCAACCAGGCGACACTATTTAACACATTTCAGGTAATGATGTCTAAAGCGGCCTTCACACGGCAAACTAACGTTTGACAATATATGTTGTCAAAATCGAGTTTGAGAGTGTCAGCATTCCAACTACTCACCGACACCAATTTCAGAATTGTCAAACTGTTGTCGAGAAATAGGATCGGTCTCTATTCTCACCAACTTTTCCATCAAACTTCGGTGTTGTGTTGTCAGTCTTGAGTTTGACGTGTGACGTTTTGTCAAACTCGTGTTGTTCAGAAACAACCAATCGCAGTCAACGGAATTGTCACGTGATGTTTTGGTCGTCTGGTCAACTCGACCTACAAAATGGAATCGCTCAAATGACACGAAACATTAACATGTGTTTGACGTGTGAAAACGCGAGTTTGACAACTCTTAAAATTTTAACAACTTGTGTTGTCAAACCATAGTTTGCCGTGTGAAGGCCGCTTAAATCATTTGAAAAGATGTACATGGCGATTGCGATGTAGTGTTTGCTACCTATTTTTCATTCTGTCTTTTCAGTCAGGTTGTTTATTGCTTGGTGCGATGGGGTAGCCGAGTGGTTAAAGCGTTCGCTCGTCACGCCGGGTTTGTTTCTTATGCGTACAATGTGTGAAGCCCATTTCTGGTGTTCCCGTCATGATATGGCTGGAATATTGCTGGAAGTGGCGTTACTCACTTCTTTATTGCTGATGGTGTAAAGCGTTCACTTCCTTGCTCACTTCAAATGTCGTAAACACTCAGGCTGAATTTACCTAGATGTCCAAAGATGCCTTTTGCTCCATACAAATCTAATATAAATGATATTCAGTTGTGAGTACCAACAAATTTCTTTTTCATGTTTAAACGCATGCTTGTCGTAAGAAGTTCAATTGGTAATAATTACATGTTTGCTATTTTGCCAAGGCATCGGGAGATGATCGGGACAGGTTCTTTGTGGAGGACATTTTATATTTAGTTCATTTTAATAATTAATAGCTCGAGAAGCTTCTGAGTGAGTGAGTGAGTGAAAATCTAACGTCGCATCTGCCTTGTATCAGCCAAAACGACGTGACCAAGTTTAGTCTCAATTTAGGAGAATGCATTATGTTTAGTCAAGAGACACATAACTTGTTTGGTTGTTGGTGACATCACGTTGCTGGTGATGTATGTGGATGCTGATGGACCAAGGGATGTTATTAAAACGCACGACTGCTGATGAAACGCTCTCATGTTGATGGAGTAGTATACCTCGTTAGGATGAGAAACCCACAATAACTCGGTGCGCCTAGTGGCTGCAAGAGTTGTATACTCCCCAGGGAGTTGAGATTGATAATACGATGTGCCATTGAGATTGACAACCAATGATCGAGGGAAATAAAAATACCAGCGCCTTGAGCATGCACTAGTTGCCTGGATATGTGCGCTATATAAATATCCTATAATGATAATAATAAAAAATACGGGGATGTTGATGACACGTAAGGATGTTCATGACGTAAACATATGCTGTACCTGGATGCTGATGACGTACCTGTCTGTTGGTGACGTACCTACATTCTGATGACCTACCTGGATTCTGATGACGTAGCCTGGTATTGGTGACGTAATATACAGGGATGCCGATGATGTATGAAGATGATGATGACCTACCTGGATTCTGATGACGTAGCGTGATATTGGTGACGTAATATACAGGGATGCCGATGTTGTAAACAGATGATGATGACCTACCTGGATTCTGATGACGTAGCGTGATATTGGTGACGTAATATACAGGGATGCCGATGTTGTAAACAGATGATGATGACCTACCTGGATTCTGATGACGTAGCGTGATATTGGTGACGTAATATACAGGGATGCCGATGTTGTAAATGGATGATGATGACCTACCTGGATTCTGATGACGTAGCGTGATATTGGTGACGTAATATACAGGGATGCCGATGATGTAAACAGATGATGATGACCTACCTGGATTCTGATGACGTAGCGTGATATTGGTGACGTAATATACAGGGATGCCGATGTTGTAAACAGATGATGATGACCTACCTGGATTCTGATGACGTAGCGGATGTTGGTGACTAGACATTGGTGTCTCCGCCAAAGTCAATCACCTGCATCCAGCTGTGATCAATGTTTCTGTTTTTCATTGAATGTTACTTTTAGCTCAATCAGTCAAATACCGACCATTTACATCAAATGTGTCGACGCTCCAAGTTTAATATTCGCCTAATCCGATTTATGACAAACATGATCTTCCTCTGGTACGACTAAATAACAGTCGTCCAATGAAATGTGTTTTTCAGTGCTATCCCTCTGGTACGACTAAATAACAGTCGTCCAATGAAATGTGTTTTTCAGCGCTATCCCTATACCAGCAAGCCGTGGTCAACAAAGTACCCAAAACTTGCCTCCATAACCTCACACCAACCTATGGCACCAATGGGTAAGAATGGAAACCCTCATTTTTGAGGTGTTATTATGGCTTTGTCCCATTACAATGCTACTCAAATAATTCTAGATGAGGAAGGATTTCCATACCCTAGCCATAGCAGTAACAAACCATTTAACGTTTCATATATACATGTATATTTCACTTTATCTTTGTCAGTTACACACAATTCTAGTGTTAAATGTCACATTACAATGGAAAACTGTTTCCAATTGTTGATATTCGTTACACAATAATTCCAACAGGAACTAAATGTGTAAGGGCGGTACTGATTAATCACATCGGTAAGTGTCAAGTGCTAGGTACCCATGAAGATCCGGGTTAGAATTGGTCTTCAACACCCCATGCTTGTCGTAAGTGGCGAATAACGTGATCGGGTGGTCAGGCTCGCTGACCTGGTTGACACATGGCATCGTATACCAATTGTGCAGATCGATGCTCATGCTGCTGATCGCTGGATTGTCTGGTCCAGGCTCGATTATTTACAGACCGCCGACACATAGCTTGAATACTACTGAGTTCGGCGTTAAACAACAAACCAACCAACTAATTAACACAAAATTAAACACACATAGGTTTGTCAATTACACACTGAGGATAGGATAACCACACAACACACAACACACACACAACACAACACAAACACAACACAACAGTCAGAGATATACAGTAATTCGATTGTTGCATGTACCACAAGCAGCATGTTTCTCATTATGATGAATTGAACCTTCCTTGTCGTGATGTAAAGGCCTGTTCAGCTTGTAAAAATCATGGTAGTAACACATGTCATTCATTTGGTGCTGAAGATAAAATACCCAGGTTCGATTCTACACACGCGAATACCTGGTGTACCTTGTCTTGGAGTCGCTGAATTGTTTGAATATTGCAAAATGTCTCGTGTATTTCCACCCTCAAACCCCCAACACAATCACTTACTCACTCTCCATGTTTTTCAGGGAATCAGATCTACGATAACGCCTTCTACAGCAAGCGTGGACCAAATATTGTTCAATACCATGGGACTGGTCTCGACAAGAAGGAATATTTTGACATCCATGATAACTTCAGGGTAAGGCCTGGTCTTTGTTGTACAGGAAACGAATTCAGTGCCGATATAGCTTTCTTAGCCTCAATTACCATTTTTATTCCCATTGATCATCGATAGTGACTGATTTTGGTTTTAGGCCAACCCTGCTGACTTTTGGTCGCCTCGTGAATATGACTTCCGCTTCCGGTGTTCAGCAGAAACCTGGGCCAGACAAAAATCAGTTCCACAGCCTATTGATATCGATGATGTTGGACCGCGTCAACCCACAGGACCTAAATATATGCAGAAAGGTAACATCACATTGGCATTTTGCAGAAAGGTGGTAGGAGTAGACAACTGAATGAAATGTTAGGTTAACACATATACCATCCTGTGACAAACACGATGATCATTTTAGGAGCTGTGAAAGTTACTGATTTTGAGACCATTTGGGGTCATTTTATGCACATTATGGCGGATTTTGTTCATTCTCATATATCCAATTTTCGTCAATATCTGCAACCAAAAGTTACTGTCATTCTTATATCGTTTTTTTTTTATCTTTCTTTCCCCTTAAGACCAACAATGCTGTCGACATGCCTGACAAATGATAATATTTAAACTGTTGTTTTCAGCCATTCCCCAGCACCACACTACGTCACATCCGGCTTCATGCAGTGGATCTATTATTGGATAATATCCCTTCCCCAGCACCACAGTACGTCACATCCGGCTTCATGCGGTGGATCTATTATTGGATAATATCCCCGTTGGACTTTGTCAGGATTGGGGACATGGAGATATGAGTTTTTGTATTAATGTGAATAAAATTCCAAATAACAGGCGTGTGTCGTATGTGTGTAAACTAATATACACACAATATCAATGTTTCGAGTATCGGTCGAAAGAAAAACATTGGTCAAAAGACGAAATAGTGGTCAAAATTATATGACTAGATCACTGAAAGTCGGCTATAACACCTGATCGCGGAGAGGTTAAGCATTTTCTGTTGTACAATGAACACCCATGAATCGTATGATTTCCTTAGAAGAGTGGTTGTTTGTTCAACATATACTCGTCTGCCTTCTTGCCTTATGACCGCAGCCTGTCCAGAAATAAGTGAGTGAGTGAGTTTTACGCCGCTTTCAGCTATACCATGGTGGGGGACACCAGAAATGGGCTTCAAACAATGTACCCATGTGGGATTCGATTCCGGATCTTTGGCGTGACGAGCGAACGCTTTAACTACCCCACCGCCCGTCATGAAATAAAAGGGGTACGCGACAGTCCCCAGATAATGAGCCTGGATCATGGAACCACATAAGAGCAAAGTTGATGAACTCATTGATTGGAATTAAATAGCACATATTAACTTTGAATTACTTCTAATGTGTACTGTGTGACGCCCATTTCTGGTGTCCCCCGCCGTGATATTGCTGTAACATTGCTAAAAGCGGCGTAAAACCCAACTCACTCACTCACTCACTGATGTGTACAAGTCCCGTGATAAAGCATGTCTGGTGAAAACCTCTTTCTTCGTAA